ATTACCTGAGACTCGTAGATAGCACGTTGTTCAGCAGAAAGTGTTGGCGTTGGAACAAATTCTTGATTTCCAGACGGAATGGGTTCTGTGACATGTTGAACAGGAGTGAAAGCATCATATTTAGTGTTCTTCACATTCTTTCCATATTTGTTGCTCTTATTCATAGGTGCCATTGATGAGAAAGTTTAGAGTTGAATGATGATTTTGAACAAAGAAGATCACATGCTTTTCTGAGAAAATAAGAGCAAATGAGAGCAGAAACAATGTTTTTGAGGAAAAAAGAGAGTATTTATAATGAAGAAGTAAACAAACGGTTCAGTTTCACTTTGTCAAATGAAAGGGATACTGGGACACATATTAGTGTTTAATAAACCGACAAGACGATTGCTAGTTGGGAAAACCACGATTTGAACTTACTTTAGTGTAGCAATGATGGAAACTGAATTACGTACGTCCTGATGAGACGTTTGGAAAGATGGTTATCATGATCATGACGTGACAACAATAATGGTCATCATAAAGCAACTTTTGCATCAAAATTGAAGTTTGAAAAAAATGTCTATTTCTTCAATTGTTTCGAAATATAAATTTTTGGGGGGCAATTTGTTAGCTTAAAATTTCGACGGTCTAAAATATTGAAGGGTGTCGCAAGGCATTTGTTTTTGAGAGAAATATGAGAATATTTCATTTGGTCTTCGACTGACCAAACTATGGATAATTTGGTTATGTTACACGAAAATACTACTGTTGTGGAATGGATGAGACTTAAGGAAATGTCAAGTTTCGAATTTTAGATTTTTCGATACGTCATGCTGTTGTTTTGGTGCTTCAAATTGAAGAACGATTTTGAATTCAAATGGTTTGATCTTATCTAGAAAGACGCGTGGAAGCCTGAAGATTCGAAGAAGCATACAAGACTCGAACATGGAACTCTTGTAGAGAAAGAATGTTATGGTCGAATTAGTATAAATTATGATCTTTGTATTGGGATTCAATGTGTTCACTTACTGTACAAATTATTCAAATAAACTCGAAGTACTAAGTGTTAGAGAAAAGAGTCAATGGGAATTTACGTATTGAAACACCAATTTATATTCAAAGTTATTTACATTTAAATTAAGTCTTTTACTTTTCGTCTAAGTTTAAGCCGAATTCCTTTACATTCCAGTTTTTACTTTAAAACCTCTTTACCTTTATCTTTCAGACTTTGTCTATACTTTTTCCTTTGGTATATTTATCTTTTCGACATAAAGCAAATACCCAGAAACACTAGAAAAACAATATTAGACACATGTCCTAGGACCAATCTTGTCGATCCTGCAAGTAACAAACAAATTATCTTTATTTTGGAAGAGTAACGGTTATTTACTAAATTTCACGGTAAAACATTAGAAATCTTCTTGCTTGAGCCAAGATGAACAATGCAAATGGTGTATCAACTTCTATGATAAGCAACTGTAAATTGAGCAAACATGGCTCACATCCTTCTCAGGGCACAAACCTATTAGATCTATGGTAGGTACTCTCTAATATATGACTCTTACTAGGTTGAATATTGCTTTAGTGTAAAGAAGGTCTGTCAATTTATGGTCTCTCTTTTGGACTCTCATTGGTATGTGGTCAAGAGAATTTTAAGATATAGGAGGGATACTATCACAGATGGCTTGCTTCTTTCTCTATCTTTATTGGCACACAAGTTTTTCTTTAAAGGTCTATAGTGACTCAGATTGGATGAGTGATCTAAATGATCGTAGTGATACTATCACACATGGTTTACTCCTTTCGTTATCTTTATTTTCACACAATTTATTCTTTAAAGGCCTATAGTAACTCGGATTGGATGAGTGATCCCGATGATCATAAATCTATCTTTGGCTTTAGCATCTTCTTTGGATAAAACCTCTTGTTACTAGATTAAGTATTGTGGTAGAATATTGTGCCTTAGCACACATAATCTCAGAGTTACTCTAATTAGAGTCTCTCCTCACTGAGTTTGCAGTCCTTTTCTTGCTTCCCACATTCCTTTGTGATAACCATAATGATGTGTTTCTGTCTCACAATGTGATACTTCATGCACATACGAAATATATTGAACTAAACACACACTTTGTGAGAGAGAGGGTCATAGCTAAGAAGATGAATATTCAACATATCTTTAGTAGTGTACAAGTTGCGGATACTCTTACAAAATCTCTTAACACAATAACTTTTCATGATCTTTGCACCTAGTTCAAAGTCACTTCTTATATCTCTCATTGACCTAATGGGGAAGTAGCAGAAGAGATGCACCATGTATATAAAAGCAAAACATAGCTCTGTGTATGTAGTAGTGTAGCGAAAATGCAAAAGTAACTAGTGTGCACTATAATATAAATACATGTATCATGTCATTGTGTTCACAAACTCATTAAACAAATGCAATGAAGTTCATCTTTCATTAGGATAAAACATTGAGGCCATTGGTCCACTTTGGACAGAATTTTTTCTCAAATAAAACCTTATTTTCATTGTATTAAATACAACCATACAAGTTACCACTTAATACTAATTATATAGTTGCGATAACATTCATAGTAAACTATTACTCTAAACAAACTTTACTTATTATACCATGCATTTCATAAATTCTTAATAAATGGTTAACACTACACTACACTATTCCATATGTCCATTAAAGTTTTGTCTGCATTGTTATTGAACAGGATAGACAAAAGATAACTTGTTGTTACCACATTACAGCTATGGTACCAAGACATATACAGCTGGCTAAATTGGCTTCTTAACTCCTTTTCCTATTTTTCAGTTTACAGTGTTATCTACATTATCTTCATGCTTCATTGCATGATCCAAATGTATCCATCACCATCTCTCAAAGCCTAAGTTGGCGACCGTCCACTTAGCAAATATGTTTGTTTTTATAGTAATAATTCACCACTTGTTGTTTTCCATGTATTCAAAATAAACAACTTTTTCTTTTATTCATCCACTATTTCATTCTCTCCAAATAATGCAATCTTAACTAAGAATATCTTTTTTTATTTTTATTTTTTATAACCGAGCTATAAATCCGTTTGTTTTTAAAAAAAGATTTTGGTTAGTTTTTTTTTTTTTTTTATAATTTTCTTTTAAAAAAAGCTTTAAATGAAAAATTGATTAAATAATTACTCTAAAAATATTATTTTAAGCATTTCATTCTTTTGGTATAATTCTTTTTAATATCAACAATTTAAAAAAATCACTTAAAGTTATAGTTATTTCAAATGATATTTCATAAAAATCATTTTTGAGATACATTTCTTAAAATAATTGTGATTTTAACTATGTTTTAAACTTCAATAATATATATTTATATTATAAAATGTTAAAAATTAATCTTTCAATTTATAAAAAAATGAATTTATAAAAACTTGTAATATTTTAAAAAACATTTTTGTAAAAGTTATTTTTAAAAAAAAGTTCAATTTTTAAAGTTAAAACAAATGAGCCTTCAAATGAATTGTTAAATTATTTAAATGATTAATAAAATGAAATATATAAGATAAAAATTTAATTAATAAATTTAAGTTAAAAATAGTTTAAATTAATAGTTTTAAAAAGTATTTTTAATAAAAAAATATTAATTTTTTGGAAATTAATATTTTGTTTTTCAAAAAATACAAATTTAAAAACAAGTTTTTTAAAATAAAAAATATATAGAGAAAAATTATTCTTGAAAATAAAAAATAGAGAAAAAATGTCTTTTTAATGAAAATAGAGAAAAATGTTTTTTTTTTTTTTTTTTAATTTCTAAAAGCAATCTTTTTTAAATGTAAG